AATGAGTATCGTAAATCCGTTTTAAATATGTTATAATATCCGTCTTTATACCTGCTCATTATATTAGGTAACTTTGTCTGCATGAAGTTATAAATCACGGTTTGTTGCTAGGGTCCACCTTTTAACTCATTGGAATAATGTTCACAAATGATTTACCTTATTTGTAAGTTACATTAATAAAAATCCGATTTTCATAAGCTAATTAAGAACTTATTTAATTTAAAAATAAATGAAGGACAAATAAAAAAAATAGATTGAGTGCATTGTTCACTATTAATAAAAAAAAATCTACTAAAATACATCTTAGAACAGTGTAATCGTAAAAATATATTTTAAATAAAAAATACCTGTGACGTACCTATACCTGATGTACTTATACCTAACATTAACCATTACAGTGACTAATAATCATTTTAAAAAAGTAATATACCATATAACACAAAGATCTCTTTATCTTAGCTAGGTAAGTTAGCTTTAGTTAGGTAAGGTAGCGTAGGTAGGTTAGCTTTGCGGTCATCTGGAGGAGAAGGCTAAGATAGCTTCCAAAAAGTTAGGAGTACTCAATAGGGTGAGACGATATTTCATGCCAGAACACCGCCTGAAATTATATAAAGCCCAAGTCAGGCCGCATATGGAATACTGTTCTCACCTGTGGGCAGGAGCGCCACAGTACCAACTCCTTCCGTTAGACCGCATTCAAAGTCGGGCGGCTCGAATTATCGATAGTCAACGCCTTACTGTCCGACTCGACCCACTGAAACTGCGCAGAGATGTTGCATCTCTGTGCATCTTCTACCGAATTTATCATGGGGAGTGTTCTGAGGAATTGTTCGGATTGATACCTGCTGCTGATTTTCACCACCGTACAACCCGCCACAAACTAAAGTTTCATCCCAATCATCTGGACGAGTGGCGGTCTTCCACCATGCGTTTTTCAAGGCACTTTCTTCCACGCACAACCATTCTTTGGAATCAACTTCCAGCAGCAGTATTTCCGAACCGATACGACAACATAACCTTCAAGAAAAGAGTATATTCCTTTTTAAAAGGCCGGCAGCACACCTGCAATGCCGCTGGTGTTGTGGGTGATCATGGGCGGCGGTAGTCACTTACCATCAGGTGAGCCGCATGTTCGTTTGCCCCCTGTGTTGTAAAAAAAAAAAAAAAAAAGGTACCTACTTCTTTAATTTATACACTATTACATATTTACGAAAATTATATCGTAAATTCATCAATTATACCAAATATAGAAAACAACGTACCTATATCTACAACTGAGAAATATCTTTCTTTTTTATTTCACTCGAATAAAAATAAATCATCTTACTAATTAATATAATAAAATCACAACCAGACGATGTATATACAATACTAAAAAAATATTAATATAAAAAATTATATTAACGGATCTAAACAAAAGTAATAGAAGACAAAACCATATTTTTTTAAACATTGTGTCTTTGTATATTTGTGTATTTGTATGTTTGTTTCGACATCACACAAAAACTACTGCACCAAATTGGATGCAGTTTCATACTTGTATTCTTGAAAGTGTAACTTTAAATCTAATATATGTTTTATCTTGATACGCCGTCTAGAAGTGATACAGTTTATTGGTTTTCCCACTTTCGAAATCGACGCTTACGTGGTAGCAAACGAAAAGGTAATGTCAAATAAACTACATTTAGTGTTAACTTAATAATTGTAAACAATGTAACTTAAAAAATACATTAAAATACAATACCTACTCGCCACACAAGTATAGCTAATGAACAATAATTACAACGATCCAGTAAAGTCCAATTAAGGCGATCCTAACGCTTAAAGCAATATTGCCAGAGAACCTTCGGGCAGAGGACAAAAGATTAAAAGTAAAAAACTGTAAGTAACTCCGCTCAATGTATAGAACATTATCGCTTTCAAACATTGGGCATATCGCCAAACAAATTAAGAATCAATCCTTCATTCATACTCATAGATATAAAACCAAATCACTTCATAACAATGGGTTATCTAAGGACTCATTTATTAAAAGGTTATTTATTTCCAGGCCAAATCACCTAAGAAATAGACAGAGTACAGAACATAATGGCAATGACCTTTAACCTTATATATCTAGCTTCATCCACTACATTCAATCATCGTAAAAGTCAAACAAGGTGAACGATTCACAAATCGACTTAACCCCAGCAGAAAGACCGACCCTACAACAACATACCTACCCAATATTTTGTTTTAAGAGTCATATTGTACGTTCTTTCACATATTGAGTAGGTAGTTTCGTCATGTATGTTTAACGGACGGTGCAAACGAAGCGTGAGTGCTCGTATCCATCAAAGGATGAACGGGGTTTAAAAAGTAAAATCAATTGAATCACTCATATTTCACACTTTGCTTCGTTGGTGTAACTGAAAGTATTCTAACTATATTTTCGGATCCCAATATTTGATTTGGCGGAAAAAGTAATAGGAGACGTGTAGGTATGAGTAAGATTTCGGTTACTTTTCGATTTCGTTTAATGAAACGAACTTATCTGAAATGGATCGGGTATTGTGAGTTGTTTGTGTTGTTCGTTATCTAATTTCATTCGACATAACAATCTCGACTATGGCCGATCAAAGCAATTACATCTTTAAATTGTAGTAAAGTCTACTTAATTTAATAAAATAGCGAGTAATTTAGTAAAAAATACTCGATTCAACTGATATCCACCAAATTGTATCATATCCACCATGGTACTGTTCATGTCTATAATCACTTTCCATCAGATGGGTCGTCAGCTTGTTTGCTATTCCAAGTTGCATAAAAAGATTAAAAGATTAGACTAAAAAGGATAGTTTAGAGAAAATTCTTGTGCATTAATATCTCCAACTCATGTTTCTAGCAATAAACAGCTGTCCACATAGCTCTGTTTCAGTTTCAAGAGTAAATCATGGCAAAGACATTAAATACGTACGTTTTGCTCTCTGGTATGATTACGCATGAGAAGTGGGCGTTACTTTGAAATCTGTCACCTCCATGAAGATGTTCATTATGATGTTCATGTCTATAATTGACAAAGTTATAACCAATTACTCTTAGGTACCTGTCATGAAGTTATCCCATTATGAATAATAATAAAAAACTAAAATTTTATAATTTAGACAAGTTTGGCAGTTAATACTCACTTGAGTAAATTACTAAAGCAGTCCAAACTAGGCTTAATATGTTCCAGCACTGAGTTTACACTATAGTTGCCTATCTGCCGGATTTGCCGATTACAACAAACGTCTAATCTCTCAGTAGTCTATTTCATACGTAAATCCCCATAAATCACTATCTATAGCTCAACTATGCAATACCTTCTACGCCTATTGTGACTTGATCTTGGGTGCGTTTATTGACGTAGCGTAGAGGATAGCTCCTAAATGTCCCTTTTCCGATTGACATTGCAAAAGGGTTCCCAATACGTGTTGAACTCTAAAACCCTGTGCACTTATGAAAAATCCAAAACATCAATTTAAGGAAAAAGTAATATCAAAGACACATAATGACACCATTTTCCCGATCTTTAACGAAGGGTAAGGATGTAAACCAACAATAGATATCTGACGGCACAACCCAAAGTACCCCGACTAGAGCAATTTAATAGTTTTCTATATTGCATTGAGTCGGTTGCATTGAGATCGAACACTCTACATCACGGAAGTTTTTATAATAATGATGGTGACGATAAAATAAAATGACGTAACAAAATCCCAAAAAAACCCTCAGATCGTAGGAAGAGAACGCAACCGTAGTTACTGTTCTTAATCTTTGCCTCAGATCAATTTTTGCAAAAAATCCTTGACTGTTCTTTGACATTATGATAAAAAATAGTCAATCCTCTGATCATAGATTACGAATAGTACCTGCGGTACCTCAGATAAATTACTATACATATAATAATAATATTTATCTGTTCAATTAGTTCACTTTGTCATCACAAATAGTGGCATATGCCACTATTTGTGATGACAAAGTGATTTTTATATTTAAATTTTTTTATACTGCAAACATAACAGCTCGTCTGATGGTAAACGAAGACTAGCCTATAAATTATTATCTGTCATACATATTACTCATACATACATGCCCTCGATTAAGTAATAAATAATTAAATAAGTAATGTTAATCGCATATAAATTATAGATTAAAAATAGTGCTTTTTCTACTGTTGACTGTATATTTTTATGTGGCCATTATTATTGTTTACATTATTCTATTCATTATATATATTACAGACATCAGATGAATTACGTTTATACCATCAAATATCTCTAAGGTGATCTGTCAATCCGTCTGTGGCGAAGACAGAGTACATGCAAATCTGTTTTAGTCCTCAGGGATAGCAGTGCGGCAAGGGGTTCTCTGCGTGTCACATTATACTCAGTACGCCCATGGTGCCCATTATCTATATATGCTACGGATACCACTTATCGTCAGGTTGGTCGTCAACTTCAAAATTTAAAATTTTATGAAAAGGAATCTCGTATGAGAACATAAGCATAATCTGGAAATTGCTATTCATAATGCATTCATGCAGATAGAGAATGTCAGGTACTATACTTAATATATATACATATACAAATCTGATGCAACTGTATTTACTAGATAGAGCAGTATCAAATAAATACTCTATCTGTGTAATAGAGCTTACATACATAGATAGAGCATTTATTTAATACTGCAATCACATACGTTATACAATTAGGCATAGATCTAAAAAGTATACACAGTAAAATAATTTTAATTGTTTTATAAATTTTTCATAGAAAATAATAAGGTTTGTGTCAGCAGTAAGTAGCATATATAAATTATATTTTTCAATTAACAATAATTATATTTAAATAAAAGATACATAATAATTATTCCATTTATGTAGTTGGATACTGGTTTATAAGTATAATATTTTAAACATGAAAAAAGTTTTTAAAACCGTAAAAAAACTATATTATTTTTAAATTTAAAACTTTACTTACCTTAAACAACTCCATAATACAACACTACGGTCTTTTCCGATCGGTACTTCACTCTCTTATTCTTCAATATCTCACAGTTTCTTAAAACTTACACTGCCCGAATTGCACACAAATTTAATTATATCTTATATATATGTACAAAGTTTTCCATTTATATGTTTATTAATAATAAATAATATGATTTAACACATAATTTTTTTGAGCTTCCTACGTAACGAGTATATATGTTTATCTATATATATTTATGTACCGTTTAATCTACCGTATCTGAGACCAAATTTGAATTTGCCGATGGCGGGAGTGGGGCGCGAACCCGCGCGCTTCCCTCCGCGTGTCCCAAACATTTTATCACACTGAACGTCGCTGAAATCTTCTATTAGGGACGTCCTACACATCGACTTTATTGTCCGTAATAATTTTATTATCAAAAGACATAAAATACACCCTTTCGGTACATAAATAAAAGATAAGTCCCCATTACTAACGCATTCCTTTTTTATTCTTGCCATTACCACTTGAATTGGAAATTCCCTATACTTTTTCTTAGGCAAACGAGCAGACGGTCCACCTGATAGAAAACGCCTACTGTCGCCCATAAACACCTGCAACACGAGAATTGCTTGTGCGTTGCCAGCCTTTAAATATAATACATTTACTATAATACATTTGACTGTTAGAAAGAAAAACAATTCGACTACTTGACTCTTAAGATCGAATAATTACTTACTATATTCCTCACTAGCGACACGTCCCGGCGTCGCACGGGTGGACATTTTTAACATTTCCCTTCACTGCTCTGCTCCTATTGATCATAGCGTGATAAAAAGTATACTATAACCTGCCCAGAAGTATGAAGAATAATTGTACCAAGTTTCGTTAAAATCCGTCGAGTAGTTTTTGTTTCTATAACGAACATACAGACCGACAGACAAAAATTTTACTGATTGCATTTTTGGCATCAGTATCGATCACTAATCACCCCCTGATAGTTATTTTGGAAATATATTTCATGTACAGAATTGACCTCTCTACAGATTTATTATAAGTATAGATTACGTACTGTATTTTGTATGATATTAAAAGTGAATTATAGTATAAAAACCATCAAAATGTAAGAGCGCCGTAGTCTAGTGATATGTTAAACCAAAAAAGACAGAAAAGATCATACGTTCAAATCTAAACGATATCCATTATAGAAAGCCTGACTATTCCAAATAAATGATATTGATATTATTTGCTTACATTCCTAGTGTTAGCTTTTAAATATAATGTATTCGTAATATAATGTATGTATACATATACACTTTACTGTTGTCCCTCTCACGCATTTGTTTTATATACAATAACTATGCATGGAGATCTATTATTGGCTATCCGATTACTTATTATAATTTACTTTTACTGACCTTGTCGGAAAAATAGTGGCGAAACCGGTCAAGTACATATTGTAATACCTTTTTTTTTTTTGAAAGAGTACAAGTATTTTTCTAAAAATATAAATCCTTACTAGTTTATAAGTTTGTTTATTTCTTTCTTACCTCTTGGCCTTAATAACTCGACTGTTTTAAATGAAATTTGGTGTACACATAGTATTTGGAATAATAAAAAAGATAAGCTATTATTTACCCAGATTAACACTTTTTTTTATACTACTGAGATGGCAAACAAGCATATGGCCTGCAATACCAGGGGTATTTCGCGCGCCGTATTAGGCGCGTTGCCGAGCCTGACGAAACCTCTTTATCCCCCTTTTAAAGAACCCCATGCTGTAGTCTCTTGGGAAAACCTGGGCAAGGAGCTCATTCCATATCCCAGTTCTGCATTTAAAGTCACAAATAAATGTTAGTACTTTTCATAACTTTTTAAATTCATAAAATATTTTTCATCGATACAAATATATCGATAACGGATCAGCCCTACACATCTCTAGTACGACCGTCACGCACAGTCAGCGCGGCTCGAGAACAACATTGGACGGCGGCGCGCATGCGTCCACCGTGTTTTTCGCAATTTTCCAAACTTGAATTCTTCACTTCTACGTGTGTGCAGGGCCTATAAATCTTCTTCTGGAAAGCTATTACGCTGATCGTCAACAATTTCTGTTCTGTAAACGAAAACATGCATAATAGTACAATCAAAATGTTGTATTGACAATAGCTTTATCCTTGCCTCCTTACTAATATTTATAAATGTGAAAGTGAGTTTGTTTGGTTTTTTTTTTTTATACAACTTAGAATGGCAATCAAGCTGATGGCCCACCTGACGGAAAGTGGTAACTGTCGCCTATAGACATGAGAAGTACCATGGACATAACAGAGTATACTGTTTCGCCCATGATACCCCCCATGCGTTGCCATTCCTCAGATGTTATTCCTCTGTACCCAGTAAATTCACGCCAAGGGTGGGACCCTTCAAACCGAAACACAGTCATGCAAACACAACTGCTTCACGTTTGAAACACGAATGGGACAGAGGTACCCAAGCAATCGACTTTTGTACAAAGTCTCCCTCTGGTACTTCTTAGCGTCTTAACGGCTTAACCTATCACTATGAAATTTAATATACACATGGTGGGATGGAGAAGAACATAGACAAATTTTGATCATGGTCAGTGAACATGTCTCTGAACATAACACGCGGACGAAGTCACGTGTAAATACTAGTGACGCTCAAATATGTAAAATAGAAACTACAATGCTATTATTCTATTATACTCGTAGTATACATACGAAATTCATGAGCTATCCGTTTTAAAATTAATCAAATAACTCGAGAGAACTATTTGTAACACATAACGCGGACGAAGTCGCGGGTTAAAAGTTTGTAACTTAATATATCTTAATTATGTAATTCTCATACTTTAATCTACCCGCCATAAAAAAGTACATAAGAAGTGATAAAATAGGCAAATAGGTTTAGCAACAATTTCTTTATTTAATATCTATAAAGAAGTTTTTAGCTTTTTAGTAAATTTTATTTATTTATTTATACAAAGCATAAAATACATTGTGCAGAATGATACTACATAACAGCATTATAAAATTTAAAAATAAATATGCAATGTTACTGTTACAAATTATTATTTATCGTTTCGAAGTCAACGAAGAGCTATATTTCGGTGCATCAAGCCTTAGCCGAAAAAAAGAGATTGTTGATTATCATGATAGGGTATCAACAATCTCCACGCGGTCCCCCCTGGTTAATTCTTATGGAATTTGTTACAATCGGCTAACTGACTTGCTTTTATTTTTACCCATCATCATTCAATTATGCCTCGCCAGTGTATATTAGTAATGCAGACAAGATTACCATACCAGGAATCAAACCCAAACCCTTATTTACGCAAAACAATGTATCCACTACTGCGCCACGGCCGATAAGTCATCTGGTGACAGATTCGTTTGCCATTATCAAGGGGAGAGCGATTTTGATACTAGGATCACCATCCAAAGATCTAAGCTTTCGAGTGGCTAAACTTGTTTACATAGACAATATCCAAGGAGAATTTATGGACGGTAGTTGCTTTCGAAAGACGATACTCGCAGGATTTGTTTACATTTGGCAATCATAATATTATTGTTTATATATGCACGTTTTAGCACTGCATTATTTTTAATGAATTAGGAATCAAAAAGTATTTATTTATTTATTTACTCTTTATTGCTTCACTTAAAGAATAATATAATTAAATAATAATAAAATGTGTGTTAAGTTAGATTTTTTTGAGTCTAAGTCAACGTTACATAAAAGTTTTAACAAAATTTTAATTTAGATCGATCGATTTGAAGTCATAAGTGATACTTTTTACAATAACATTGTGATAATTTTTAAATCCTTAACTTAAGTTTATTTACTTAAGCAGATTATGTTCATCTCCATCCTATATAATACATATATACAAATTTTAATAGTGATTGGTTAAGTCGTTGAGACGCTAAGGGGTCGTTTTTACATTATAGGATACTTGCTTTTACCCGCAACTTCGTCCTTATGGCCGACATACAAGACAAATAGTGGCCTATGTCCTCCTTTACCCTGCATACCTGCATAGTACGTGTATATCAAATTTCATAATAATTGGTTAAACCGTTGAAGAGGCCACCATCAAACAATCGATCAAACACACTTTCACATTTATAACATTAATAATGATAAGGAGGGCCATAAGATTTAGTGAAGGAGTTAAAGGTATTTATATTCTGTTGCCCTTGTGGTTAACGTAACACGATAGGCAACTGACCCGCCTTTATTTTCACCAATCATCACTTGTTCCTCGCCAGCATATACCAATAGCACAGGCGGATTTTTTTAATGAGTAAAAATGGAATGGTATCCCCGCCTGCGCTATCGGTATACACTGGCGGAGCACCAGTGAGAGGTAATTGGTGAGAATGAATGCAGTTCAATTGGCCCACCATGTTGAATTTGACAAGAATTAACTGTTTTAACTGGAAACCATTCCAGGGAGAACCGCGTGGAGGTCAACCTGCGAGGATACATTGTTAGCAATGGAGCTGTTAGACCCTATTACTAACAATCCCTTTCCCCCCTGCGCATGCGGGGATATCGTTCCATTCTTATCCACAAAAAAAAACTGCCGTAACTCGGATTCTTACATTATGAAATATATGTAGTACTTTATACTAAGTCTATGTTTGGATTATTTTGATTAGCCATTAATATTTTCTATAACCTCAAATTTAAATTGCCACTATAACAATTGGTTGTAAGTTAGAGAAATTTGAACTCGTAGACTTTGTGGTTTATAAATCGGCATATTATATTGGATCACGGTACTCTCCACGTCGATATTTTTACAAAAAATATATACTATATTTATGCAAATATAATCAAATAGCAGTAGCAGCTTCGCACAAGTAGCCGCGGACGCCACGGCTCCCCTGTTCCGCCGGATCCTTGCCTTTTCCTGAGATAAGAAGTTTATGCTGTGAATCATTTATGGTATGTATACATTCACATAAATATCTGTAATAAATATGGTGATTTTATTGAACACTATGTGAAACTGGTAGAGATATTTTTTATAGCGGGAAAATGGAATGGTAAACTTACCTACGGTATCGCTACGCTAGCAAGGTACCAGTAAGTGGTGATAGGTGAGGATGATGATGGCAGTGGCACAGTTAACACATTGTGACAAATTAATCAGAGAATTAACCACGATAGAATACTGGGTACTGCAACTGATTTCGTTTATAATTTGTTCTAATGCTACGAGTATTTTCTATTTACTTTATTTTCACGATCTGGTACAGCTTAGTAGATTGTATTCACACAAATTCATATTATGTTATGAAGTTTAAATAAAAA